TGGTTATCCCATCCTTGCCCTGGGAATCTCAGCAGTCAGTGCACAGGTTGGTTATCCCATCCTTGCCCTGGGAATCTCAGCAGTCAGTGCACAGGCTGGTTATCCATCCTTGCCCTGGGAATCTCAGCAGTCACTGCACAGGCTGGTTATATCCATCCTTGAAATGGGAATCTCAGCAGTCACTGCACAGGCTGGTTATCCCATCCTTGCCATGGGAATCTCAGCAGTCACTGCACAGGCTGGTTATCCCATCCCTTTGGGCAGCAGGCTGGCTCCAGGTGACCTTTTCAAGCGGCCCTAGTGCCCAGGATCAGGATCCTGCTTGGCACAGACACCTGCATCCAGATCCCTGTGCCCTTGTGAGGGGCAGCAAATCCCAGCAAACCCTTTTTCCCCACACCCCAGGGAGAGGGGAAAAAGGCTGCACAGGAGGCAGGGAAAACCACTGCCATGTTTAGAGGGTAAGCAGTAACACTGAGGAGCTCAGCACAAAACATTGGCTGTCTCCTCCTCTTTTGTCACCCAGCTCTTTCAGGCAGAAACATAAACACAAACACAGTCTGACAGTGAAATATAATACTCATTTATCCCCAAAACGAGACCTGTCTGGGATACTGCTTTAATGACATGGCAGCTCTTCTGTGTATTAAGAAAATTGAGAAATCTTCTTACCTCATCTAGCTTGGATTGTCGACAGGGGAAGGAAAATGTAAACCCGACTGGCAGTTTCTTGTCTTTGATTTGTTGTTTCTCCATAAAGTCTCCCAGGCATTCAGCAACATGATCAAAAAGCTGTAAGAAAAATATAAAACCACCGTGATTAGAGATACAGCTTCAGGGAGAAAATGTTTCAAACTCCATATGAAAACTGCTCTGAGTGAGGGGAAAGAGGAAAACAGCTCTCCAGATTTTAAAAGATGTGTAAATGGCACAGCTATGAAAGTACTCTCAAGCAGGGCATATTAACACCTTAATAATTAATACGTTATGAAATGGACTGTCCTTTTACACGCCTAATTCTGCAGGCATCTTTTACACCCATATAAAAACACTTCCTGAAACAAGAGGCTCGTGGCTCTTGAGCCTGCTGTAACCCTTCCACTTAACATCTGATGAGAACAGAAATGCTCTTTTAACCTTTCTATAACAGGAAGGAGCCAGTCCAAAGAACATTTGGGATCCAGTCCCAGAGGAGGTTGAGCACTTTTACACTGATGTAGAGAAGACAACATCTGCTTCACTCAAGCACTGCTGAGAGCAGAGAACCCAGCACTTTGCAGGAGCCACCCAAAAGAACATCATCTCAAATCTATTCCCAAAGCACACAAAAAACAAACAAAAAGGAAACCCAAGGGATTCATCTAAATATTTCCCATGTTCTGAGAAACAACCCAAAATGGGGATATTTTCTCCATTTTTTGGAAGGTTGAACTATGCAAGCAGCCTGCAATGCTCTAAGCTGAAATCAAGCCTGAGCAATTAAGACAACAAAACCACAGGTTTGTATTTACCAGCACCAGAAAGCCAGACATGCCTTCAACTGACCCATGGCACAGATGGATGGCAAGCTATTAACAAGTCACTGCCTGCCCCAGGATATAACTGGGCCTCACATTTTAACTCCCTGAAAAGCAAAAACCCAAAGAAAATTAAACAAATCTTATCTACAGCATTGGTGGGATGAGAGGAGGTAATCTGCCTAGAAGACTGGGGATAACTGGGAGGGAGTGCACAAAGACATCTGTTGGTTCCAATTAGCCCACACAGCTTTATTAAGAACAATTGAGAGTCTTGGAGAGACAGGAATGTACTACAGACAGACTGCAGCAATTACAAAGGATGAATAGGAATATTCTGTCCTTCAAAGCAGGTCAAGAAGCAGTGTGTGTAATGTTACAATTAAACTGAACACCTTAAAGTCATGCCTTAAATGAGGTCAGATTTGATTAAGGAAAAGTACAGTGGTTTCCCAGGGAGAATGTTGCCATTCATTGCCCTGGGCAAATCAAAGACATTTTCCTGAGCCCACGCAGAGAAACAACTTGGGAATGCAATGCACTCTGCTGCACTTCTGGAAGACAATTTTCAGCTGTCCAGATGAGGGACAGAGGAACTAGGAAAAGAACTACATTTACATAATAAAATATGGCAACTTCTCCAGGAGGAACACAGAAACAGCAGGAGTGTGTGCTTTGATTATGCTTCCCATCTGAAAGTATCTTGCTGAATACTCAATCCTATTAAACTTTCAACTGCTTCCAGGACTACAGGGTCTGATGCAGGGTCTGGCTGTGCTACTGCTGCTCATAAACCACAGAGGGATGGCATGGCTCTAAAGCAGAAAAAAGACAGGCATTTATTGCCTTTGCTACCACTGACACTCATCATTTTTCCTGAGGAGACTAAAGTGTGTGTCCATGCCCACATTAACATTCAAACCTCACCAGTGCCAAATGACTCTGACTGGACAGTAGAGGCAACATTACAAAAATCCAGTAAAATTTCATTAAAGTAGGGGAGGTGCACTGAGGAAAAAATCAAAATCTTCTTTTACCCACAGATTTGCAGTAGGGAACAATGTGAGCCAAATATTTTATCCCATGTCAAAATTATGGACAGAGAGAATGTCACAGCCAAGAGGAAAGGATCAGTCTGATTTATAGACCTGAGGCAATACAGCCTGAGACCCTGAGCAACAATCAGGTTTAATTCCCATGACCAAGGAGCTGCCTCTTGGGCTCCAAGAGGTCTCCACAAGGATGCATTTGGCCAGCAGACAGGAGACTTGGACAAGCAACTGGAGATCCAAGCCCAGACCCAAGCCCCTCAGTGGGGATGCTTTAAGGAGCAAGGAAACCACAGTTTCAGATCCAGAGAACAGCCACAAATCCATAAGTTACCTGCAGTGGTGGCAGAACACAAAAAGCAACACCAAAATCAAGTCTCAGGTACGTTCCCATTCACTGAGCTGACACAGGAGACATGATTCTTACAAATTTTAGACCTGCTATTACACTGCTGAAGTGTATCAGAGTTTTATCCTTGACTTCAATGGGAAACTGTCTCTGACTGGCAAAACTGTGAGCCCATGCCTGACAGATGGACAAAACTGGAAGTTTGAATGCTGTGAAGTAGAAAATATCAAAATGAACCATGTTAGTGAGATGTGAAGCCATAAATCACAATCTTTCAATAAGCTGATTAGGCACTAAGCTTTAGGAGTGTAACTCAGCAAAGTTAATGACACAGCTTGCTGGAAATCATTAGCAGCCTACCCTGCACAGGCAGCTCAGTCCAAGTATTCCACAAATGTGGCTCGGACATGTCAGAAAACCTCAAGCATCAGTCACAAGCACCAAATCATCAGCTGCCTGTCTGCCCCCTGGGCATCCCCCATGCTTCCCTCTTGAGGGCACACAGCAAGCACTGGACATCATCACAGAACAACTCCAAACCCAGCTGCTGTTCTGATAATGCTTCCAAGTTCTGCTCTCGTTTTCCTGGTCCTTCAATACTGTGCCCATGGGGTCAGCAGAAGCCTTGCTTGCCTTTCTTTCAGCCTAAAAGCCACGACAAAGCCTATCAGCCTGAGCTCCACACTGCTGCTTCCCAGCAGCCAAATGGCCTCTGGATATTGAAAAATTAAAACACAGCTATGACAAAGACATGGAAAGAAAGCAGACCTGATGTCTCCCATCCCAGCTTCTCCTTTCCACCCTTATCAGAATCCTCTGACAGCTCCTGTCAGCCTCCAGCTCCTGACACCCATCCATGGACAAACAAGCAACCCCTGCTGCCACCCTGCCTCTGAGCTGCCCATCCAGCTTCCCTGCCCCTGGCAGCCACAGGCAGCTCAGCTCAGCTCCAGAACCACCCTGTGGGAAAGCCACTGCACAACCTTCTGGCCCAAAAACAAAGCAATAAAGTTAGGAAGAGTCCTTGCAAGAAGGTCATTTCACTGCTGTGGTTCAGATATGACAGCAATACTTTTATCAGTTCTACTGACAAGCCATGAGTGCCATCTTACACTCACTTATTACATACAGACAATAAAGGTATTAAGGTGACTACAGAAAATAAATGAAAGGTGAAAATGCTGTTCCCATAATTTTTCTTTCTCTCCTATTTTGCTTGCTCTTCTGAAACAAGCTTTACGTTTCCTGAAGGTCTCACACTCCTGAACAGCACCTCATTCTAATAAAAAGTGTAGAAACCTTGTTGTTTCCAACAGTGAAAATTACTTGTTTTGCCTTAGGCTGACATGGAGACAAATCTGCCAGTGTAATCCACTTCCTGATCATAAAAAAAAAAAAAAAAACTTTCAAAGAGCTCAATTTGAAATCCAAGTGAATGGATACAAATATTTTCTACTCTTGGAACAGGGAAGACTGAAAAAAAAAAACCCTTTCAATTACTCAACAAAACTTAAGTGAAGCTGTGCCAACACATTCTATCAGCTTCCCGTACCGTAATTTTTTCAGTGTACTTGTACTTTTCATGAATGCTGAGTTGCTCAGACTGCCAGCACAGAGATGTGGCTGTCATGGTGATTCCTACCCCTCATCCAACACTACAATTGCAGGGCTGGTCATGTTCATTGCTTACAGTTGTTTTCCTGCTCTCCATTTGTACTAATGCAAAGTAAGTTGACTATAAAAGCCAGAATTTTTATTCCTAAGCCATTTTTTTCCCTCTCTTATCCAGAAGTCTCCCATGGGATGACAGGTTTGCAGCACCCATGCATGCTCTGTCACACTGCTTACTCCTTTTTTCAGTGAGGTGCAGTCTGCATGCTGTAGGTACAGCTGTTACAAAGCTAAGCTCAGTCTTGTGGGATTTTCTAAAACCCAAGGAGCTAATCTGCAGAGGGATGTGCCAAGGAAGAGGTGCTTACCCGTGTCCCACTCCCGTGCATGATGTCCTCTGGGGTGTTGTAGATTTCACTCTCCATCTGCACCGTCTGCTTTTTCTCATGCGAAACCTTCACCCGAAGGATTCGGAAGTAAGAACCACCAAGATCCAGTGCAATGAAATCTCCTTTCTCTGTGTGGGAAACAAGACACAAGTGATTAAAAATCACGTGCAATACAAATCTGGGAAACACCAAGCTTGGTTAAGTGCAGCACTGAAGCAAATGTCCAGTCCCTACAGTGGAAGCTGCAGGGCATCCACGTGAACCTGATTTCATGGATCTGATTCCCTAAATTTAGCAGGAAGCTGGTGCAATGGCAATGCCAACACCACTGATACACAGGCAACTGCAATGAAGTTGAATTCCAGTCTGTATCCAGATCTCATGATGAAGATGGCAGAGCAAAGACCTCAGGACAGACCCAAAAGAGATGTTGAAAGCAGAGACAGTAAAATGAAGGGATGCCAGGCCACTGACAGCGTTTTGCTGCAAATAAACCTGTGTCATTTTGGCAAGTAATAGCGGATGGTGGCTGCTCTAAAATCAACAAATTACACACAGATGTAATGAAAGTAGGAGCCACCCCTAATCTCGTGTCCAGAAAGGCTGAGATTCACTACAAACTGCAGACAGATAAGAGAAGTCAGAGAAAGGACAGCTTTAAAAACCAGCCCTGTACTGCTGCAGGAGTTACTGAGAAGTTGTGATGCCTTGCACAGAGCTCCCAATACCTGCCCAGGAGGAAAGAGCTGGGGTGCCTCCATCTCCCCCTGTGCTGGAGAGAGCTGAAGCCAATCCAGCAGCCTGCAATGTCACAGACTGCAGGCACGTGGGCTGGCTATCAGAGCAGTGGCACCTCTGGCACCCCTGCAGAGCAAGGCAAACACATTTGCCTGACCTGCTGTGCTATCTCGTGCCCTACAGAGGAGGGAGCAAAGACAGGGATTGCCAAAGTCTGCCAAAAGATAATGTTTAGGGAAGCAGAGAGAACAGCTTTCTCACACAGGAGTGCGTGTCCAGGCTGCAGATAATCACCAGGGCTCTTGGCAAGGATCTGTGTCTGTGCATGGCATCCCCACGCTCACTGAGGCTGCTCACAGGGCAGCAGAGCAAAGGCAGTTTTCTCATCATCTTCCTCATCAGCTGTGGCTTTCTGAAGGCCGTTCCTAACATTGCTGTTTTTCCACTTCTACCTAAACTCAAAGTGGAAGAAGCTCAAGCAGCTGGGAAGATTGTTGTGACATGTTATCTCAAACACACTCAGCTCCCAGAGCCTTCTGACCCCAGGCTGTCATGAAAATTCCAGGTATGCAATTTATCCACGAGCATTTCCAGAGCCATCCTTGCCTCTGAGATTGTTCTGTCCAATCTCATGTCAAAACTCCTAAAATCTGACCCAGTGAGCTGCTCCTCCTCATCACCCCCTGCACCTCTGGGAGCCTCATCCCAGTCAGCAAAGCTGATGAGCTGCACAAGGTGTCCCTCAGGACAGGATCTTTAGCAGAAACAGACCAAGAGAAGCAAAACCACACTGCAAATGCCCCTTTGGATTTCCAAGGTTGCAGCATAACACAGAAACAAAGCACTGTCATGTGAGAAACCACAAAGAACAATAAACTCCATACAGAAAAACACAGCAAAATTACAGGGGGAGCCCACAACTTCTAATACACCTCCAAATTTCACTGCACTGCAATGTAACTTGTCCTTCTTGCTGCCCAAGACATGGGCAAGCTGAGTTTGGTAAAACACAGATCTTGCAGTGCTTCCCTACCTGCTCCTGAGCAGTGTGGCTTTAAACACTGCTTTGCACCAGTACAAATGTCACTTAAAGCATGAGCACACACAAACTGGAGATGCAGCTCCCGTTATTTGGCTCAGCATAAAAAATTCATAACCCACTTCACCACAGCCAGTCTGGAAGTCAAACACTGAGCACAAGTTTCTCATTAAGCCAAATACCCAAATAAGCTTTATCTTATGGGTATCATCTGTTGAGTGCAGGCCATTACCCCCAAGAACTAATGGGAAAATCAACACTGGACCAGATGGCCCTTTTTAGTGTTTACCTCAAACAAACACTACACTTCTGAAATACCTTCCTTGTAAATAAATTAATGGGTTAGGGTGCTTGATTTCCAGCACCATCAAGCTCATTGCAAGGTAAAAAATTATTAAGAATCATCCTTCACCCTTTAAAAGGTCTCTGAACTAGAGTGTAAAGCTTTCTGAATGCAACTAGAGTTTTCTCTTCATGTACTTGTGGAATTAAACCCAAGTAGCAGCATTTAATCTGTGCTTTGTAAGACCAAGGCCCAATCAAACCTGCTGTGAATTTATCTGGACTTTGAAAGCATTTTGAATTAGCTTGAGGTGCCATTCTGGGCACTGGGGACTGAAAAACCTCATGGCTTTTGTAAATTAAACAACTCTGAATGAAAGGGGAGAAAAAACTGCTAACATCAACACCTCCAGAGTCTCTAGAATTATTGCTCACAAACTCCTTGTTGAAAAAGAACACAAGCACAGATCTGAAACTAAACAACAGTATTTTTCTGAATAGTCAGCTCCCATAATAATAATTGGACTCAGAGGAAAGAGCTTACAAGGCAGTAATTAGAGACAGGCCAGAGAAAAGGGCAGGCTTTCAGCCTCTGGCTTTCACGGAGGGACAGCTGAAGGCACAAATTGCCATCTTTGGGCACATCAACACAGCCACAATCCCTGAGGGCCCCCCAGCAGCTTTGGGAGGAAGAGGGAAGGGGCTGTGCACCTGTCCTGGCAGGACCTGTGCCATGGCTGTGCCAGGCACACTTGGGTGAGTCAGGGCAAGAAACGCCACAACACCCCCTCAGAGCAAACATTGCTCATACCTGGGCCCAGAACATGCCCTTCCAGGGACAATGGAATGGCTCTACTTGTCCAACACCCATCCAAAGGGGCTCCAGCCACCCACACACCCACACAGATCAGCACTGAGTGCTGCAGAACTGGCCAAGGCACTGCCTGATTACACCAAGGCACTGGCAGCAGTGTGCCCAGCCTGGAGAGGCTGGCAGGAGCCAGGCAGGCAGCTCAGGAGCACACACACACACACTGTGCCCAGCCTGGAGAGGCTGGCAGGAGCCAGGCAGGCTCAGGAGCAGGAACTGAGAGCCCTGGACACAACACACCAGGTTCTTTTTTAAGTAGGTGTGTAATGCATGATCTGAAATGAATGCCCTGACACACAGACACGCCTAGCACACAGCCAGGGCTGCTCACTGCTCTGGCTCCTCCTGGGGCCCAGCAGTGCCAATCAACCTCATCACACTTCTCTGGCCATGTGCAGGTCCTCCTTTTCCTGGGCCACCTCTCATCTTCCCAGATTCAACCTCTCATCACACTTCTCTGGCCATGTGCAGATCCTCCTCTTCATGGGCCACCTCTCATCTTCCCAGATTGCACAATGGAACAGTTTTCAAAGTTATTTGACTCAGGTTTGGTACTGAGCAGTGCCTGACCAAGCAGGGAACTGGGGACAAGGCACTGCTCAAACGAACTCAAATCAATGAAAAAACAGGGATTTTGGAGCCCAGTAGAAATGCTGGGATTCCACACAAAAGCCCTCAAGTCACCCCGTGTGCAAACCCTGAGTGCAACCTCTGCCTGCGACCCAGCTGTGTGTCTGGCAGCTTCTGGTTTTCTCAACAGGCTGCAGATTTCAACACAACATTTCAACATAACAGCCAGCAGTGCTAAATTAAGGGAAAGAGAGGATTCAAACACTTTCTCTCTTTGGTTTTCCTCAGACAGCAAGTCACATCTCAACTAAAAGCTTGAGATGGCAGAAAGCATCAGCAAAGCAAAACTATCAAAGAATTCCACCTGCCAGACAGCAGCACCAATTTACACAAAGCACTTGGCCTTATGTTCTTTCACCAATAAATTCTTCATTTTAACTCAAAAAAAAAAAGCCTGAAAATAGGTAATAACTCTGTTATGCAGTTCTTGCAATTTCTGCACACAGGTAGGCACCAAACTAGTTAATTTGTGGTAGGCACCACATTAGTTAACCAGCTTATGCTACATGAGAGGGAAACCCAGTGTTACTACTAAATAATAAACACTATTATATAATGTTTATAAATACATTTAGATGCTCTACATATGGTATTTTTTAAAAACACATAGTAATTTTTAAGTAACAGAGGCAATCTTGTTCTCAATTACCAACATAACACCTTTTTGGTGTCTGATAGCAGTTTGTGCCACTTTTATCTGGTACAGTGGGCATGGAAAAAACAAGTCCTGCATCCAGATGGAAAAAGCTTAGCACACCAGAGCAGCAGCTTTGCAGCCACACGCTACATCCTCCTCAAGTTCTGTGAGTTTTCCACCAAGGCAGTCTAGAAGAGGAAGCTACAAAATGCAAAATTATTGCCAGGAAACTCAAATCCAGCCTGTAATGGTTCACAGTTCCACTGGGGAAAAAATAAGAAGAGGAGATGTTAAAGGAAACAGCACATCACTAAAAGCCACTGTATTTAGGACTCTAGGTCATGTGAGTGTGAACTGCATGAATCAAAAATCATCTGTGTGAAGTACTGATTGCTGGCAGACAGGTCTCAGAGTAAATGTACTGAGGGATAGTGAATGACTGCCAGGAAGGGCCCTTCCATTGGCACCAAAATGCCTTTGACAAAGGAATCACAAATCTCCCAGCATCTGTGGGAACAGACCTGCACACAGAGGGGAGGCTGCCCTCGAGATGCTGTCTGGGCTTGCCAGGGAGCAAATCCCTCTTGTTCTCGGTAGGACATTGTGCATTTCCAACAAATGTGCTGACTGCGGAAAACACACCCTCAGCTGCTTACCTGAGCCGTCAGGAATGGACCTCACGAAGGTGGGAAGCATCTTCACAGTGGCTGTGGGGTTGAAATCCCTGGAGAGGCCGTTCTTCATCTCCCTCCTGAAGCGAGCCATGACGTCCAGCAGCGTTTCGTCCGACAGCCGCATGGCGTAGAGGTACTTGTCGATCTGGGGGGACACACAGCACCCCGGCATCAAGGTCTGCCCTCTCTTTCTCTGCAAGGCTGCTGCAGCCCCAGCACGGCCCAGGACAAGCTCAGGACACAGCCTCATGCCTTATCTTCTGACTCAAAGTCACGGAGAACCTACGAGTCCAAGGCCTCCCGAGGTGAGCTCCATCCTACTGTCATCCCATGGCAGCCCCACATCACTTTGCCTCCTCACTCCCACACAAAACCATCTTTCCACCACCCCATCCAGCCCTTGCCCCACTTCTCAGCTCTCCTGACTGTCCATGGAGCTAAAATTCCCTCTTTTGGCACCTTGCCCCAGCTGGGAGTTGTGGGTGTCAGGGGTGCTTTGTGTTTAAACTGGGAAGGACTTGCCACAGTGGTTTTGGGGCTACATCACAGGCTAAAAAAATATTTTGATGTAGCAAACCACTCTCTCTATCCCATTCCAAAGCTACAACGAACAGAGGGTCTGCAAAGACAGAACTTGACTGTGAGCAGATGGCACCTTCCTCCTCATGACAAAACATCAAATTAAAAGTTGTTGACTTCTCCCTTGCAGCTTCCAATGACAGGAGCTTGCTTTACCTCCTTGGAAAAAGGAGGCAGTCCTAGTTTCCCAACAATATTGCTTTCCATAATATTACAACCACCTTCACTGTCAGGAAGACTGAGAGATGCTTTGATGCTTGAAAAATACAACATGGCCTGGAGGGGTTCTTGCCAAACACACCTCCCACCCTTTTTGCCTCAGTTGCCAGTCTATTCTTGCCTTGTTTCTTTACCTGCCTTGGAAATTTGGTTCCACAAATGGCTCAGATCGAAGCCACACCTTTGGGATCACATTTGCTTGCAGCTTAGCAAGACAAAAAAAAAAAACCCTGCCCATGTTTTCTGTCCTCAGCAAAACTGGAAAAGCCACCTCATTTTAAACCCCAGGCCAGCTCTGTGCCAAGGCTCCCTGTGTCTCCTTGGCTGCTCTGGAAGCCCTGAGAGCAGCTCATCTCCAAGCTGGCATTTGTGTCTTACAAGACCAAGGCCACAAAAAACCACTTTATGTAAAACACAGGCACACAAGCACTCCATATACCAGGGACTTTGAGACAGGAAGCGATGAATAATGCCCTTCACAAAGGAAATGCAATCAAAATCTCATTAAACTCTCAGCTGACCATAAAAGCAGCACCAATCTAATTGCTCATACAGAAAGCACTCCTGCCCACCCTACTCAAGGTCTCCCCAAAGACAGCATCTCCCTGAGCCAGGCACCCTCCTGCCATGACCCAGCACTTATTTACACAGGCAGGCAGAAGGCATGGAGAGTGCTGCTGGGCACAGCACCCAGCACAGGGCTGGGGACCACAGGGGACACAGCCAGAGGCTGCACAAGCCGTGAACTTTTCAGTGTCGTGGCTTGCAGAGGAACAATGCCATGATTGATAACACCACGGTGAAATGAGACCGTGCATTTTCCCCACGAAGCGGTGACGTGACGGTGCAGGCGTACAGCTGAAGGCCAGAAGAGCTGAGCTCAGGTTCTCTGCAACAGAGGCCGAATGCAAGACCCCAGGGCAGCATCCCCACATCCCTGCTGTGTCACAGCAACAACCACAGCCAGCCACGGGCATCCTTCCACTCCAAGAATAAAATCCTGGACGGATGGGACGTGCCCTCTCTGCAGCCCCAAACGCCGTGGGGATGGATGCAGAGGCTGGAGTCTGGCTAAGCAAGAAGGTCTCTCGTTCATGGCAAACCCTGCCATGTTTTTTTTTAGCAGAGTGTGTAAAGCCATGATGTCAGAGCATGAGGATACTCCCTTTAAAAAGGAGGGGAGGAACCAACCTCTTTTTCAGGCTGAGCTTCCAGCAGCCCACGCTGCCGCTCAGAGGGACGCTTCCCCAGCTCTCCCAGTGAAAGCTACAGTAAACACCGCTCGCAGTCAGACTCATACACCCCTCTCCAAAGCCCCAGCGCTGCATCCTCCTCCCAAAAGCAGGGCGGAAGGGTTCCCGCTCACCGAAAGCGCTGCTGTGAGCGCAGGTTGTGGCGTTTGCACAGTCAGGACTGACGAGCCCATTCTCCCCACCTCTGCCCCTGCGCTGCCCTCAGCAGCGAGGCAAAAGGGAGGGAGGGCTCTTTCTGCTGCCGTGAGAGACCAATGAGCGCGGCCAGCGCCCTTACATAATTGGGCCGGACGCTCCACGCAGGGAGCATCCCCTGCATGGCTTTGCACGGCACCCGGGCCATCCATCTCCGCCGCCGAGATTCCCGGGGCGGGGACATCGAGTGAAAACAGTCACTCCTACGTGGCACGGCTTCAAAACCACGGAAAACTAAAAAAAAAAATAAGGGGGAAAAAGGCAGGTATTTTATTCTCCCTGGTGGGAGGAGGGTTAGTCATTCCAGCAGTGTGGCAGCAAGGGAGTCAGCGCAGCCCTCCAAGGGAGAACTCCCGGCAAATAGCCATAAATAACCCGAGGAAGGGGGGGCTGGAGGCTGGATTATGGCACGGAGGTTTAATAACTCCCTGCTCCGCCGGCAATCAAAGCCGATCACAAAGCAAAGCTCAGCCGGGGGAAGCTGTGGAAAGGCTGCCCAGGACACACAGGAGCAGCCCCACCGAGGCTCCCGTGGGAGACAGGTACCAGCCCTTCCTTCCCAGGGGATGGCAGAGGGCAGGAACAATTGCAGACAAGGAGCAAAAACACTGCTTTATTTAGCTGCCACCCCAGAGTCACCCCCCGAGGAAGGGCATCTTCCCACACTGCCACTATGGGGGTCCTCCTCTAAGAGCTCAGGCACTTTTTTTTGGTCTTTTTCTCAAAAGAGACCAAAACAAACCACAGACACAATCGGTGAGCAATTTTTTAAAAATAGGATTTCACTGTCTGAACCACAGTCACATAATTTTTCCCAGTCGCAGTTTGTACTTGGAGAAAAGAAGTTTCTGAAAATCCAGCCACTGCAGCAGTTGTGAATAATTATATATTAAACAGGCAGTGCCTTTAGCTTAAACTTAAAGGCCATTCCTTAAACACACGCCTCCATCCCCAGACACTGACAGCAGCCAGTGGCATCCAAGAAGAGAGCACACCCAGAACAATTTCAGAAATCATCGGCACCTATTTTACCTTCGTGCCAAAACCCTTCACCACGAAAACATTTTTCTGCAGAGCTAATCATACTCCTTTCAGCGTGAGGAAGATTCATCAGGAGCCAAAGCAGGTTAAAACAAGTAGTTTAGACATTTGGAAATTGTTTGCGCTTACTGATGATTTATCAGCTCGGTTCCTAAAAAGCCTTTATGGGGCGGGTCACCAACACAGGGCTCTCCTGGATACTAGTTGTTACATTTTATACTACATTCCAACACGGTTTTTTTCAAGGTTAAACATCCACACGTCCTCCTTCCTGGATGGCAAGATCTTTTCCTTCGCTCAGGTAAGACAACAAAAACATATTGTTCCCCTGACACGCAGAAACCAGGCAACACCTGGAGGCTCCCTTTGCCGGGGCCAGCCGCAGCAGGTACGAACCTGCTGCGAACAAAAGGCAGCTTTACAAAGTTGTACAGAGCTCTCCCCACACGGGGCAGCGGCACAGGTACACCCTGTGTTTCCCTCACCCCTCGGGATGGGAATCAGCCCTGCAGAGAAATGGAGGCCACAGCTGAGTTTGGGCCAAGCCCCCTGTCTGAGGCAGGGCGCTGAGCTCCTGCTCTGTCGCCACAATGTCACAAACATTCAGGTGACAGATGTCTGCAAAAACATCTGGATAATTTAACTGCTTGGACCACATGTGTATTCACACAGCACAGGGCATGACACAGTGCCAAGCAGCATGAAGTGCCATTATGAGTGGTTTCACTGGAAAACACTCCCTTCTTGCAGGGGCCACAGGGTTCTCACTATGAGCAACCCCTTCCTCCAACTCTACACCTCCACCCTGCCAGGACTCATCTTGAGAAACATTCAAAAAATGACAATTTAAAAAAAAACAAGGGGGTACACACCAACACAGCAGAGCCAGTACAGAAGCACTAGCTCCTAGACGCAGGGTCTGAAACCACCAGCCCCATCCATGCTCCTCCACAGGGTTTCCACTGTGGAAAGGCAGCTGCAGAGCATTTCAGAGATGGGAATTAAAACAAAACAAAAAAAAAAAAAAAGGAAAAGAAGGTCACAAGAGAAGAAGAAAGCTCAGCTTTGGCTTGTCAGTACTTTTAACCCCTTCCCAGCCCTCCCGTGAGCCACAGCAGCATCCTGAAGGTGACCTGCCCGCCGTGCCACCAGCGATGGCTGTGGCAGAGCAGCGAGGCAGAGGAGCAGCCTGGCACCCAGGAGCCCCACGGGGAGAGCAGGGACCACGCCTTGCTCGGCAGCCCGGAGCCACGGGCACGTACCAGCAGAAAGTGCTGCTCTCCCGGAAGCCGGAGCAGAGGGAGGGACCTGAAATGAAGCCGTGCCTGCACGTATCCCTAGGAGCCGCACACTGATGGAGCACAGACCCCACAGCAGCACGCTGAGGTGGAGCAGAAGCACTTTTGCCCCATAGGGGAGCAGGGAATGGAGCCCACCAGCTGCCACAGGCATCCTCTCCACAGGACGGCCACAACCGAGGAGGCTCAATATCGGTTCCAAAAGGATACAAACAGGAAAAGATGTCTTGCGGCCTCTACAAACAGTAGCCTGCTTTTTTTGACTGGGTTTTCTTTCTTTCTCCGCTTTTCCACACAAAACCAGCTTGATCCATAAGAATGCTTTACAGCTCCCTGGCGAAATGGTTTCCCATACTGCCAGACAATAGCAGCCCCACGGTGCCAAACCAGCCTGCAATAAATAACCCCCAGAACACCGCAGAGTTTCTCTGAGCCTTCCCCACAGCCCTTCTGCCGCCCTCACCACCACACACACTCCTGCTTATCTTGGCCTTCTAAATATAACACACACAGTGAGACAGAGAAGGAAGGCCCTGGCCGGGCAGGCACGGCTGGCACCAGCACCAGCACTCACAAATCCTGCAGGAAAAGGAGCACAGAGGGCCTGGCAATAGGAGAGGCAATAGGAGAAGAGGTGCAGAGCTGCAGGCTGAGCCTCTGGCTCCTCATGAGAGCCCCCAAAAGCCCCAAAGCACGGAAGGAGACCTGGAAACCATGGGGAGCTGTGCTGGGTTTTCTCCGAGGGACACTGAGCCCGTCTCGAGTGGGGCAGGGTGGGTCACCCACATATTGGAGCTGAGGCCAGCCCAGGCACAGCCAGCAGCCCACAGGGATGGATGAGGCGCTCTCCTCCTGCTGGGGAGATGCTCAAGCCCCAAGAACACTACAGATCAGTACTACTAATGCTGTCATTGAGGCTTTCCCGGAATATTTTAGGGATGCCCACAGCCGCACACTCAGGTGGGTCACACGCACGCCTGAGGAGGTGGCAGAGGGGAAGCCTCGCTTTCCTGACGTCAGCCCGACTCACCGACATTTGCAATTATTTTCCCAATTCGTGTCCCCACATCCGAGCCCCAGGCTCCCCGCTCCCTACAGCTCTGCAATATGCTCGGATATTGGATCTAACTGCCATGTTTTTATTTATCCTGAGCCCCGCTCCCTTTTCCTTGTGGCAGTGCTCGACCCCAGCGCTGTGCCAACCACACGGCAGCAACCCCCTAATGCTGGAGGAAAAGAAGCCTATAGAAATGCTTCTTTTTGAGCACAGCCGACAACCATTTCCTGTAAATTCCGATCCTCCTGCGGCACTTAATTCAAAAACTGCTTGCTCCTCGCCTGCTCGATTGGGGATGCTCCCAGGCATCCTCGGAAAGTAGGGGAAATTCCCTTTCCGGGGATGGTGGTGCCGACGAACACCATGAGAAGCCATCACATTCCCATCGCTCACTGCCAAAGCCCCCAGGTCCTGCTGGACCGGGCGCTGTGCATCCATCACCCGCACCCCGCTGCCATCTCCACCGGCGATGCTCTGGAGAGTTTAAACCCGGGGCTATCCCTCCTTCCTCCCGCAGCCGGGTGGCTCTGGGGACAAAGCAAGGAAACCATCGAGTGGACGGAAAATTTTTTTTTTTTTTTTTTTAACGATAAAAAAAAAATTTAAAACCCAAGAGGCGTGGGCGGGGGCGGCCCTCGGCGGGGGGATGCCCATCTGACCTTTTTGACCTGGTCCTCCTTCAGCTCCGTGAAGTAGTAGGCCAGGAGCTGGGCGGCGATCATCCTGCCGGCTGCAGCGGCGG